GTAAAGTATTTCCTGGGAGATTTGCACTTTATCTCTAGGATCCTAAAGGCCCACAAAGACACACCAAGTGTCAACGTAGTACACTTAATCATTTGAAAAGAGGTCGGAAGAAGGGTTTCATGAGCCCAGAAAATACCACAAAGCAAGTTTGATAACTTCACTGAAAAACTGCCCTCTGAGTGCATGTTAGGAACTCTGGTGGCATAGTACCTAAGCCATTTGACTGCTAACCAGAGGGCTGGTGGTTCAAACTTAGCAGCCACTCCTCGGAAGGAAGACTGGGCAGTCTCCTCCTGTAGAGATAACTGCTTCGGAAACTCAAGGAGGGGTTGTTATGAGTCGGAATCAACTCCATGGCAGTAAGTTTGGTGTGTTTTTTTTTTAAGTCATGTTGTCTATGGAGTCTGGGTGCCAGTCATTATCCATTTATCTGGACTTCGACTTTATGGCTGAACTCACTATTTTCAGTGTGTTAGATTTTGAAACTGTTTTTTCTCTTCTTTCACTTCTTAGATTTTGGGCTTTCTGAAGCCTTTCTAAGGAGCTCTGGTGGTGCAGTGCCTAAGGCATTTAACTGCTGACTAGGAGGTTGGCGGTTCAAACCCACCAGCTTCTCTGCGGAAGGAAGATGGGGCAGTCTACTTCTGTAAATATTTACCACCTCAGAAACCTAGTGGAGGTCACTATGAGTCGGAATTGACTTGATGGCAGTGAATTTTGAAGCCTTTTTAAGTTTGTCACTCAGCATTCCTGTAAGGTGATGGGATCATTCCCCTGGTACTTGAGTGGCAACACTCTTGAGGAGACAAATTTGTCTTGTCAGATATTTTATTAGAGAGTAGCTGCAAGAACAGGTAGTAAGCAGTATCACTTGCAACAGTATCACATACCAGTGCTCCAATTTGATTTCATTGTTCTCTGTGCAAAAGTAGTATCTGGTTTAAACAAGGAAAGGATGGTTGCTAAGAGCCTCTTCTTACAGAAATTCCTGATGAAATCAAAACCCCTATAATGGGAAAGCAGAGGCCTAGCTAGAACATTTAGGCAGCCAGATCCCAGGCTTCCCCATCCCTACCACAGGTCACCTTTTCCTGCATGCTGTTCTTTGCTTGGCTGTTCCCGACACAGCCATCTTAGCCAATCATAGATGTCTCTTACTAGCTGTGGAGCTGTTTCCCAGATAGAGAGTTACAGAAACATCTCACCTGCTTGGCCCTGTGTCTAGACATTCTTCTCTAGGAAGACCCTTCTCCAAGTTGCCATGCTGCACACCATAGGAAATATGAGAGGAGACAAGGAGTAGGAAATGGCCATTGCAGAGACATATGAGATCTGGAATCCCATTAGTCGGAGAGAACCACTTTCTCTGGTGTCTGCCCAACTGGCTTGCTTCACACTCTGCCTGGGAGTGGGCCACCCACAGCTTCTACAAGCGTGAAAGTGTATCCTTAGCTCCTTCCTCATGTGAAATAAAAGTCAAGCCAGCTGGATGTGGAGTCACTTATGTTCATTGTTCCTGGCACTGGGGATTCATGTGGTGGGATGCAGAAAGGCAAACATTGAGCAGTATGTGCAGAAGGAAGGTTTCTCTTCACCCAGCCTTGAGGCGTAGGGCAGTGGGTATACTTGGCTAGAAGGATGAGTGGGATTGGCCGTGATATTGGTGAGAAGGCAGTGCTGCGCTCTTGGGTGTTTTACCCACAGAGAGGTTCAGTAGAGACAGTGAAAGCATGTTTCCAGCCTGACCTTTGTCTTGTACCTGAAGGTTAGGAATAATTGAGGGGACAAGGACAAAATGTGTTTCATTACTGTTTCAGAGGCTGTGGAGTTAGGCAATGGCTAAATGCTGGGATACTAAACAAAAGGTGGTTTGAATCTACCCAGAGGTACCTAGGAAGAAAGGCCTGGCAGTCTGCTTCCAAAATATCAGCCATTGGAAACTCTGTGGGACACAGTTCTCCTCTGACACACATGAGGTCATTATGAGTTGGAATCAAGTTGAAGGCAACTAGTTTTTTGGTGGAGTCAGACATACTGGTTTTTAATCTAGGCCTCATTACTTGTTACTTATTTATAAGAAAAGTACTTAACTTTTCTGAGTCTAGGATTAATCACTATAGAGAATGTAAAGTTTTTAAAGATGATTAAATGAAAAACATAGGTAAAGTGCCTAGCATGGTACCTGAATTTGTTAATAAGTTTCTTTTGTCCTCATTTACTGTACTTTTTTGCTTTATACAGTCAAAAGAATGCTTAGTAAGCCCTTACTCGACCAGACATTATACTGAGGGCACTAGATGGAGGAAGATGTACTCCCTGCTCCCAATCAGATGGGTTAGTCCCTTATTAAAGCTCAGTGTAATATGAACAATGATGGTGCCGTTCAACTCATAGCGACCCCTCATTGGGCTTATGAGGCGGCATCTCTACGGAAGTAGATTGCCTAGTCTTCCTTCTGAGGTTTAAACCACCAGCCTTCTGGTTAGCAGACAGATGCCTTAGGCACTACGCCACCAGAGGTCCACAGAGGTGAGGCATCCTGTTCAAACCGAGGAGTCAGTGGTGTTTGAGGGCTTTTATAAGCTGGGTAAAGGAGAGGGAAAGGGTTCCAGGATTACAATTGTAAAGACATGAAGGTCTGAGTTAGATGATGCACATGGAGATCCAGAGGTGTGATATTTTTCAGAAGATACCAGCCTGAGTTTTCATTTCCTTAGTCCCTTTCCCCATCAATTTGGTGTCTGTTGTGTTGTATTGGTTAGGCAGAATGTAGATTCCTGAAACAGTACTAAGTGAGTCGGAACTGTGGATCTGTTAAATGTGCACACATACTCTTTCACACACACATACAGTCTGGAAAGTCATTGGCAGGATTTGACTTTTTCCCTTTGTGTAGTCTCTACCATAAGTACATAGAGTGCAGTTGTTTCTTGCACAGCATGAAGTTTGGAATTTTGTCCATATTTTGTCACCTGAATTTGAAGATTTTGGGAAAAAGACAACCAACCGACCGACCCACTGCCATTAAGTCGATTCCAACTCATAGCAACCCTGTAGGACAGAATAGAACTGCCCCATAGAGTTTCCAAGGCTAAATCTTTATGGAAGCAGACTGCCACATCTTTCTCCTGCAGAGCAGCTAGTAGGTTCAAACTTCTGACCTTTTGGTTGGCAGCTGAGTGCTGTAACCACTGCACCACTAGGACTTCTTGAATTCAAGGATACTGGTATCAAAATTGAGATTTGGCATTTAGGCCCGTTTGTAGCCCACTGTCATTCTGAATACTGGTAGTGATGAGTTGTGGGCTTTTGTATGCTCCGTGAGAATGAGTCCATGTACATCGACTTTTATAGGAAAAAAGGGCAGCATCCCATGCCTTCCTCAGGCTCTTTGGTGGCGGTGGTCTTTCCTGTAGCAGTAGGCAGGAATCTCAACTTTCCTGGCCATTATTATCTTATCAAAATACAAGTACTCTTCCAGTTAAAGTTTGTGTTGTAAGTGTAACTTGAGCAAAGAAATTCTCTGCAAATATCTTCCCTCAAGCCACTCTGAAAACATTTGATGAGGATGTCAGGATTCAATTCAGAATTTTCCCAGATGAATGACTTCTTACAGAAGGGTTTTGTTTTTTCCCCACTGGGTGTTGTCATTAAAGGAGGCCTACCCTCCCCTGCAGTTGTAAAAACTGGTTAATATTTTGTGAATTTGATTTAGAAAATAAGTGACCATGCTGGACAGACTGAGACCCAGGCTATAAGGCTAGTTCACAGGTTTTTGTATTACAGGAAATAGTGAATGAGAAAAACATGATGAGATAGGTTCTCCTTCCCTTAGGTCAGCCCAAACTGAAGCTTGGGTTTTGGAGTACACAGTTTCTGTCTTCTTCTCCTTCTTGCCTCTGTGCTCCTTGAACTCTGTCCCACTCACTCTGGTCATTGGATATAAAGTCACTTAAAGTAAAATAATGTTGGTATCTGATTCCATTTTGTTTCTCCTTTTTCCCACTAACACATGGGGTATAATTTAAGTGCATATAAGTGGTGACTCTCGAAGAGATGAGATTACTATCTCAACTTCTTAGCTACAGCATCAACTCCAGGAGCCAGCAGGGGAATTCTCTGCTCAGATCTAAACCTGTCACATGTAATCAGGAGAAGCAGCACCAAGTGGAGGCAATTGGGAGGTGGTCAGGGAAAAGCAGATGTAAAATATGCTTCTCAAAGGATCTTTGATCTTTCAGAATTGGTTGGTGAGGGGGAAGATACTGGCTGATATCTCTGCTAGTCCCAGACTTGCCTTATTCCTAGCCCACAGAGGTGAGGATGAGGGAAGGAAATCACTCATGTGAAGTCTTGGATGGGAAGCAGAAAGGTGTACTTTTCTTTGGAGAGAGAGAGGAAGAGAGCTTTTTGAGTGAGAGAACAGGGACATGTGAGTAGCTCACAGTGGCGGAGCCTTAACATCCCAGTCCTTTTTGAAGCCAGTTTGATTGCATAAGGGCAGCAGGAAGACCACTGAAAACTCCCTGGAAGTCTAGTGTTCTTTTCTCAGGGCTCCAAGACTGGTTGTCCAAGAAAAGCTGATGTAGGACTCTTGCTTGCCTGAGGACCACTGTAGCATGGTATCTGTTCTGGGACTATAACATTCCCAATCTTTTCTTCTTCTTTTAGGTTGACAGATTTGTAGGATGCAGCTGCTACTACTGGAAGTGTGGGGTACCTTATCTGGGCCAGGCCATGAGACCATGTGGCTATGATGTGGGCCCCTCATGGCCTCAGCAGGAACAGAGCAATACAGTATTGGCCTCCGCAGGGGAAACAGCTTCAGGCACAGTGGTCCCTCAGGCACAGTACATGCCTTACCAGTTGAGAAACCCTATGAGGGTAAAGTCTGGTCTCAGGCTCATCAGCAGGTGAAGCCAATCTGGAAGCTGGAGAAGAAGCACATGGGGACACCGTCAACGGGGTTGGGCCCAGGCCTCTTGGGTGTTCCACCACAGCCAGCATATTTTGTTTGCCCCAGTACTTTGTGTAGCTCTGGGACCACGGCAGTCATTGCAGGTCACAGCAACTCCTGTTACCTGCACTCCCTCCCAGACTTGTTCAGCAGTACCCTGCTATACCGACGCTCCAACTATAGGCACAAACCGTATCAGCAGCTGGAGTCTTTCTGCTTGCATTCAAGCCCATCCGAAAAAAGACCTTTTTCTCTCCCTCAGAAGAGCCTCCCTGTCAGTCTCACTGCCAATAAGACCACTTTTTCCACAGTCTCCCCTATGGCCCAGCCCATGGCCTCCTCCACAGATCCATACCGGTCATCACTGGGAGCAGCTGGAGAAAACTCATCAGGGAAGACCCTGGCCTATGCCATCTCAGGGAAGATCCCATCTCCACTCTCCTCCTCCTATAAGCCCACACTAAATAACAACTCCTTCATGCGGCCAAATAGCACTAAAGTGCCTTTATCACAGGCCCCAGAGGGCCTGAAGCCAGTATCCACCCCCAAGATTCACATTGTCTCCTGGCATCATTCAGGGGGTACTGGAGACTGTACACCCCAGCCTATTGACCGTAAGTTGCCCAAAAGCAATGGCACTGTCCTAAATGACGCCACTGCCCATGCTACCATGTCTGCCCCTAGCTCCCTGGACACATTCATCACCAGTGTTGCCTCTCCCCAGTATAACCGGAATAACTCAGCCATGAGAGCAGAGCCACGTATCTCTGGCCTGGATGACAACTCTGATTCCCAGGCTCATACTAAGGAGGTTCGGTTCACTGAAGCTGTGAGGAAGTTGACTGCAAGAAGCTTTGGGAAGATGCCAAGGCAAGGCTACCAATTTGAACAATCTTGTTTTGTGAACCCCAGCTTCCAGTGGAGCCTCCCCAACAAGAACAGGCGGTGGAAGCCTCCCATGGTAGGCCAGTTGCCTCAGGAGGATGCTGGAACAGACAGCAGGATTCTCCCAGGTCCCCCAGACACCTTGGGGTTGGACAGTACAGTCTTCTGTACCAAACGGATCAGCATTCACCTCCTTGCCTCACCTGCCAATGGGCTCAGCCATAGCCCTACCTGTGGATCTGTGATCGAAACCCCACCACTTGGAGGTGACAAAATTCTGGTTCCCCATTCTCCCCCTCAACTGCTTGGTGTAGCTGATGTGGCTACCCACCTCTCTTCCATCCATCTGGGCCAGCCTGTGAAGGAGCCTAAGGAAGGCAGGCAGCTGCACTTACCTGCTAGGGATATTAGGTAAGTTTTCAATTCATTTAGAACAGAATGTATATACCATGATTTGATGACACTGACTGTGTCTCTGAAGGTTGATTTGATTATTTATTTATTTCCCTGCCCTAGAGTTCTGGTATTCACTTTAGGTCAGGAGTTGGCAAACTATAGCCTGCAGGCCAAATCTTGCCTTCTACCCGCTTTTGTTAATGAAGTTTTATTGGGACACACCTTACTCATTAATTTATGTACTGTCTCTGGCTGCTTTCTTGGTGCTATGGCAGTGCTGAGTAATTGCAATAGACTGAATGGTCCTTAAAACCGAAAATATTTACTATCTGGTGCTTTACAGAAAGTTTACTGACCCCTGCTTTCAGGGGTGAAATAAGAATAGCAGACACCAAGTGTAAGGGGCCTGTGACTTTCCTACTTATTCCAGACCAAATCTGATCCCGGTTTTTCCTGGTGTGACAGCTGTTTCAGAGTTAGGGCATATACATACTTGGCTTCTTCCATTATTCCCTGTTATTTTCTGGACCCTTGGTCCACCAAGGCCTTGTTCTGAGATTCCTAGAGAGAGACCTAGGAATATTTTAAGTTAATTACAGAAATTAATTGATGGCATTTTGTTTACAGAATGTCCTATGTATGTGCTTCAAAGGACCTCAAAGGAAATGGAAGATGTAGTGCCTCTACTCAGAATGGGGGGTATAGGATTGAGGAACAATGGCTGTATTTAAGCTCTGAGGACAAGAGAAATGAACTGTAAGGTCCAGGCAAGAGAGAGCAGACTGGAGAAGAGACGAACACTGGGAGATGATGGGGTGAGCGTCTAATTGTGGCCTTTCTTACTGAGATGACTGGGCTGGGGGAATAATTCTTTCTTACAGTTCAGCTACTGACCTGCAGCCAGACCAGGTAGAAGCTGAAGATGCAGAAGAAGATCTAGTAGATGGTTTGGAAGACTGCTGCAGCCAGGATGAGAATGAAGAGGAGGAGGGTGAGTAGGGAACCTTTAATCTCTTGACTAGTTGTTAGTCCCATAAAGTCACGGAAGTACACTAACAGTGGAGTACCAGGTTAATGACTCACGTTTTCACCTGGATAAATTATTTGCCCTTGGGCAAGGGGACAGTCTAAAGGGAAAGGGGACTTTGTTTCTGTCCGTGATCTACCAGTCTTGCCTTGACCCTGCTGCCGTTGAGCTCAAGGAAGACAGTGTAAGGCAGCAGGGTGGTGTGCATGGCCCCCCAAAAAGGCTGAGCCCAGGATGTCAAAGGAAGAACTGCCTGGGCTTGGTGGGTTCATGTGGCAGCCTCTCCTAGTCATAATCCCTCTGCTTCCACCCCCCCCAGGAGACTTGGAGTGCTCCTCCTTCAGTGCTGTCTCCCGCAGCGAGTCAGTGGCAGTGATCTCTCGGTGAGTGGCGGCTGTCTAATCATTAGTAGATGCCCCTTTTCTGTCCCATCAAGATTTTAGGGCTTAATCACCCGAGTCAGTGATGGCCCTGAAAATCCTGACTCACTTTCACCAAATTTGTAGGTTTGGGGCTTTAATTTTTGAAATAGGAGCAATGGAAGGGATCAGAAACACATCTCATCATATTAGGGCTTAAAAATAGTACATTTCCCCCCACCCCCCCGGCTGCTGTTTCATCTTTAGGCCCTAAGAAGTTGTTCAAGTAAAAAGTAAATAATTTCAAGATGTGTTAAGAAAGTAAATATTCAGTTACTGAAGAAAACAAGTTTTCCCCACTATCCAAAAGTAGAGTGTTCCCATGAAATCTTTTTTTATGCCAAAAGGTGTAAAGCAAAGAAGCAATTACCATTAATTTATGTGAGCAAAAATTTTGGCTATACCCAGACCCAAAAAATAACCTAACAAATCATAACAAGTAATGCATAAAACCTAAAATAACACCAACACATAGTGTTCATAGACACAGTTCGAAGCTGTGCTGGCTTGATGCTGAGATGCTGAGTGTAGTTCCCAGGGAAGAAGCTTGGTGACAGCACTTTTCTGCTCGGGATGCATGCTGCCTCTTTGACCTTGCTGCAAAACATGTTGAATGTTAGCTTTGCTTTTCACCTTTTTTGGTAAAAGTAAAATTTGGATTTTAGCAAAAATGGGCACTAATGTAGGTCTTCCATAAAAGCGAAGTAGCATAAAATGAACTTTCGAAAAGCAAGGGATGCTTATGATAATGTTTAAGGTAAATCCTTAGACCTTTAGACCATCATAGGAGGGTAACTGCCAGATTCCCTTATAGTTGTGCTGCTCTGTTGGAAACCATCCTGAGATAGATAGATTGATCTACCACTAATTTGAGCTTTTTAAAATGCCCTTTTGCTGCCTTTTATAGTTTTATTTGGATGGTAAGGCAGACATTAGCCTTAGTAATAAGATTACCAATTAACAGTTAGAATTAAAAATTCTCTAGCTTTTAATCCAAATTATTTGAATATTGCCATTGATGGAGTATAAGAGATGCTCATCTCTAAACCAAAAAAAAACCAAACCCACTGCCATTGAGTCGGTTCCAACTCAGTGCAACCTTACAGGACAGCGTAAAACTGCCCCATGGGGTTTCCAAGGATATAAGTCTTTATGGAAGCAAATTGCTACAAAATCTTTATCCCATCACCAATATGGGTTCAAATCACCAACCTATTGCTTAACAGTCGAACACTTTAAACCGCTGCACCACCATGGCTCATCTCTAGAGAATCAAAAAAAGTCTTCTCTTAATGTAGGACTTTCTTTCATAAAGCAAGTAGTTGTAGGCTGGTACACAGCTGAGATGGGAGTCGGGGGAAAAAAGGGATTTAGTCCTGGGCACAACAATTAAGCACTCAGCTGCTAATCAAAAGGCAGCTCCTGGGAAAAAGGTCTGGTAGTCTGCTCCCACAAGTACCACCACCATGAAGGCCCATGAGATGGTTCTGCTCTGTCGCACGGGATCAGTGTGAGTAGAAATCGGCACCAGACCATTTAACAACAACAACAGAGGGTCAGTTAAACCACCTTCCTGGGTAGAAAGGTAGTATTCTTCAACATGATCTTTCTTGTTCCCCTTAACGAGGCTTTGTCTTCGTTCATTAGTTACATTGCTTTTATTTAATACTGAATATATACAAAAGAAAAAAGTGCTAAAGTTGTTTTTTTTCTTTTTAAAAATAACTTAGACTGAAAATGTAAGAGAAACAGAATGCAAGTACAGAAAATAAGTGTTTCGTTTTTACTACAAAACGTCAATTTCAAATTTTTTATTTGAAATCTAGCCATGTATGACAAGGCTTACCCCAGTATATGGAGCATCCAGATTCTGGTTGCTTTTTCTTTGTGTCATTTCTGTCTTAGATGAAGCTAAGAGAAAGAGGAATTTTCCATATCTTGATTAATAAGGATAAGGCAAGCTGCAGCTCATCTGTGTGAGTATATTGGTGGCAGTGGTTGTACCAATTTGAAAGCCCCAGTTTAGCAAAGTAGAGACAGACGTTTTTGGAAAGTAGGAGAGAGACAATTGAGACCGTGAAGGTGTATAGAAATCCTGTCACAGATACCTTGAATTTTTGTGCATAAATTCAGTCACTTTAAGCCTAACCTCCCTCCCCCTTTCAGAAAAGCAAAGCTACCTCTGGTTGTATATATTGGATGTTGGTTTAGATTAAATACTTCCCACTCTCCATAAGAAAAAGATATTTAGCATGTAATTTACTTGGACTCCCATCTTTTCCACACTTAAAACCAATCCATATTTGTCTTCAGGCCTGCCACATAGCTGTTTGTCTAGGCTTCCTGATAGAAGATAAAATCCACAAAAGGGGTTTGTTAATAATTTGCCTATTGATGAATTTATGTCCTATACATTGTACAGACCTTCTGATCTATACTCATTGCCGTCGAGTCAGATCCAGCTCACAGCAACCCCTTCTTGGGTTTCCGAGGCATAGTGCCTAAGGCACTTGACTGCTAACCAGAAGACTGGCGGTTCAAACCCACCAGCCACTCCTCGGAAGGAAGATGGGGCAGTCTACTTCTGTAGTGATACTGCCTCAGAAACCCAAGGAGGGGTCGCTATGAGTCGGGGCCGACTCGATGGCACATAACAACAGCAACAACAACAACAATATGTCTACAGAAGTAGATTGCCCACTCTTCCTTCAGAGGAGTGGCTGGCGGATTTGAACTGCCAGCCTTCTGGTTAGCAGTCAAATGCCTTAGGCACTACACCACCAGAGCGCCCTTCTGATCTATACAAGAGTTAAAACATAGTTTTCAAGCAAATGGAGATGAAATTCCAAACCACTTTGAATTTTAAAGATGACTGAAATCACAAATATTTTTGGATTGTTAAAAATCTTATTTTGTTCCAATTATGAGAGATTTATATACTTATGCAAGTCTGACCGGAGCTCTGATAGCGTAGTGCCTAAGGCATGTGACTGCTAAACCAGAAGGCTGGAAGTTTAAACCTACCAGCCACTCCTTGGAAGGAAGGTTGGGCAATCTACTTCCATAGTGATACCGCCTCGGAAACCCAAGGAGGGGGTCACTGTGAGTCGGTTCTGACTCAACAGCAATGGGTTCTGTTTGTTTGTTTGTTTTTTTGAAGTTTGACAACTACAGAAAAACACAAGATAATTGAAAATATTACCTCTGTTTCTCTATCCAGCAGTATTATCTATTAATAGTTTATTCATTTCCTGCTACTGTATTCTTTTTTCTAAAAATCATGTAATTTTAGAGATGAAAGTCATTAAGCCTAGCATCCTTTCTTAGATGTAGAAATTGAGGACCAGAGAAGTTAAGTAACTATTCTAGTGTCAGTTTTCTGGGACTGCTAGCCCAGCTCTCTTGTGGGTATAAGTCCAATACTTTTTTATTTTTGTTTTTGGGACATTTTATTGTGGTTTGAGTGAAAGTAAGTCCAATATTCTTAAGAAGTAACTATCAAGTATTTCTTCTCTCGATTAAACTTTTGATTTTGAGATAATGGTAGATTCACTTGTAGTTGTCAGAAACAATAGTGATCCCTTTACCCAGTTCCCCCAGTGGTAGCATCTTGCAAAACTATAGTACAACCAGGATATTGACATTGACACAATCAAGATAACATTTCTATCCCTGCAAAAATCGCTTATGTTCCCCTTACAGCCACACCTACTTCCATCATACCTTCATCCCTTCCTCAACCCGTGACAACCACTAATTTATTTTCCACTTCTATAATTTTGTCATTTCAAGAATGTTGTGCAAGTGGAATCATAGTAGTCTGTAACCTTTTGGGGTAGCCATTTTTTTTTTTTTTTAACTCAGCATATTTCCCTGAAGATTTCATCCACATTGTTGCCTTTATCAGTAGTTTGTTACCAAAGATTATTTAATCATTCACTAGTTGAAGGACATTTGGGTTGTTTCCAGTTTGGGGCTATGATAAATAAAGCTTCTATAAACATTTGTGTACAGGTTTTTGTGTGAACATAATGTTTTCACTTCTCTGGGATGAATGCCCAGGAGTACAGTTCCTGGATTATGGTAGTTACATGTTTAGTTTTGAAAGAAACTGACAAAACCATTTTCCAGAGTGGGTGTACCATTTTACATTCCCATCCTGTCTTTGTTTTTAAATCTTAACTCATTCTTCTTGATATTCAATGATCATAAAGTCTGATAACTTAGTAAATTAAAAGTCTTTGAAGTAAAAAAAAAAACTGGAAATGAGGAATGGAGTTTAATTAGTTGGAATTACTTAGTTGGGAATTAGTATTTCACTTGACCCAATGAAATTTACATTCATTACATTCAGTGCCTATTTCTGTTGTGCCCAAAATAACAACTTGTTTTAATTTTTATACGATAAAAATTAATATTGTAGTATTTGTGGCTCATGTCAGCTCAGTCTAGAGACTACTGTTCTCTCCCCTTTTCAGTGCTATCTAAAGAAATGGTCTGGGTCTGTCCACTTGAGCCGACAGTTCAGGTATTCACTATTTTGAGACCTTTGAGATAGCCTGGGGGGAGCCATTTTTGGAACTGCAGTCGGTATCCCCACGGCCCACTGCCCCAGATTCCCAGCCACATCTGTTCATCAGATCTATACCACGTTACATAAAAATGTAGTGTTACAGGTCTTTTCCAAAATGGAAAATAGCACTAACCATCTTTGTCTTCAGATAAATCTAAATGTAAATAAGTTAGAAATATCACTGTTTATTTTCTTCCTATTTGCCGCCCCCTCCCATTTTCTTTTTTAAATCTCTGTAACTCTTCTGCTTTTCATCCCTTTTAATTATCTATATTATTCTTTTTCCCTTATTTATTTCTCTGTGCCTTCGTATAGTGTATTCTTCTACTGGTATGTAGCCAAACTCATTTTCCACTCTTAGAACCGCTCTTTTTATGGACAGCCCTAGCCTGTAGCTTATCACAGGAAGTTTGGAGCTGTATCACAGAGTGAGGTGTCTTTAGGTGACATTCAATAATGTGACTATATGTAGGTCGTCAGCTCTAGCACCTGATGGATTAATATTTGCGAAATGACAATTGAGCACTTGGCCTTTCAGAGTCATAGTTTAAATGGCAGCTTCCTGAAATAAGATAATATTAATAATGGGAACTCTGGTTGCGTAGTACCTAAGGCATTTGACTACTAACCAGAAGACTGGCGGTTCAAACCCACCTCAGAAGGAAGGAAGGTTGGGCAATCTACTTCCGTAGTGATACTGCCTCGGAAACCCAAGGAGGGGTCGCCATGAGTCGGATCCGACTCAACGGCAGGGCATTTAATATTAATAATACTCCAGGGCTGTTGCTTCCCCTTACGCTACTACATGTTTGTTTTTCATCTTAGGAGCTGTGCGGAGATTCTGACCAAACCTCTTTCTAATCATGAGAAAGTTGTCCGACCAGCCCTCATCTATAGTCTTTTTCCCAATGTGCCCCCTACCATCTATTTTGGCACTAGAGATGAGCGAGGTAAGCCTGGCCTGGTGTCTAAACCCACGAGAATCCCCAGGGAGAAGAATGGCAGCCAAGCTGGGAGGAGGTGGTAATAGGGTGGGGGAGGATTTCTAGAAAGGCCTGTTATGGATGATTGTCACACTTTGTGCTCAGCTTCCCTCTGGGCCTGTAGGTCTAATACGGGGACTTTTTTTTTAATCTGTCCTTTAGTGACCCTACTCAGCCTCATAGTCTTAAGCTTAGCTCGTGTTGTCTAACCTTCTTTTATTCCCTTTTTAACCTCCCTTCCTTTCATTCCTCCTCATTTCTGTGCAGCTCCCGTCTCCCCTAAAGTGTGCCTTTTAAACCCTGATCTGGAATGATACTTAGTGATTTTACTTACCCAGGGAAGAATGGGTGACGGTGCCACCTTTTCCTCTTCTCACGGTAACTCTTGCTCTTTTTCACTTCCCCCTATTCCCATACATCCCCTCCTTTCCCCTAGTGGAGAAACTTCCCTGGGAGCAGAGGAAGCTGCTGCGATGGAAGATGAGCACAGTGACCCCCAACATTGTCAAGCAGACCATTGGACGGTCCCACTTCAAAGTCAGCAAGAGTGAGTCACTGCCTCTCTGTAAGCCTGTTCTCTGCCCTAACAGACAGGCTTTGAGTATGAGGAGAATCCCAGATGTCGATACTTCCTGCTGTGTAGGGACAACTGGGGATCCTGTCCTGAAGTTTGCAGCCTCATAGGGGAGTGTAGCTCTGAAAAGCTGAGGGGTCTGGGTCTGGGTCTGGGCCTGTCACTCAGGATTGGGAGAGAGAGGGCTATTGTTTTATCTCTGGCTCTAGGACAGCTCCATGGCAACTCTCAGTAAACCAGGTCTGGGAGCTTTGCCCAGGCTCAGTGGTATTTCTGGGGACTTTGGGCCTCTCTCTGTCTCAGAGGCTGAGCTGTCAGCAAGTCTGACTTCCTAATCTACCTTCTGTAGGAAATGATGACTGGCTGGGCTGCTGGGGTCACCACATGAAGTCTGCTAGTTTCCGATCCATTCGAGAGTATCAGAAGGTAGGGTCTGTTTCTGAGGAGCTCTTTCTCTGGACTTTGGACTAGGCCAGGAGGAGGGTGGTACTCAGGAAAGAGGAGGATGACCACGGAGAAGTCAAGAATGTCCAAAGAACTACAGAGATGAGGGTGCAGTGTGAAACCCCCATGGATGACATACATCTCCAGTTCTGCCACGGTGTCTTTTTGGGCAGTCCAGCCTCTCAAATAGATCTTTTCCTCTAATGTGTCTTAAGTGGCATCATCTGTTTTCACTTTTATGTTTTCCCTGTAATTACTGCATATTGCCTCCATTTCCCCAAGCTGAATAGTATTTGTTAAAGAAGAATTCTGGTCTCATGTTGTAATCGATGAGTCCCTTGCCCTGAGACTTACTAAAAGCCAAATGCTTTCCTGTCCTTGTCCCATGGCCTATTCTGGAAAAAGATTCAGTAGTTCTTTATTTGCACCTAAGATGAGTATCATGCCTGTCTTAATCACTGTTATATGCCATGAATTATAAACTCCCAGTGAGAGTAATACTTTGGTCAGTGCTCAGTAGTTCAATACTAAAGACCTTTAAGCAATGACAATAAAATGGAGCAGGGCCTTGGAATGTTGCTAAGGAGGTTGGAATGGTGTAGAGGTCTCATCTTAGCCACTCTCCTTGCTTTCACCCTTTGTCCCTTCTGTAGCTAAACCACTTCCCAGGTTCATTCCAGATTGGGCGGAAGGACCGGCTGTGGCGGAACCTATCCCGCATGCAGAGCCGCTTTGGCAAGAAGGAGTTCAGTTTCTTCCCCCAATCCTTTATCCTGCCCCAAGATGCCAAGCTCCTACGTAAAGCTTGGGAGAATAGCAGCCGCCAGAAGTGGATCGTCAAGCCAGTGAGTTGATCACAGTGAGTGGTAGGCCTCAGTCTGAGAGTGGTAATAGCAGAGTATTGGGCCAGGAGCAAATATCGTCTCTTTGCCGTTTCCAGCCAGCATCAGCTCGAGGCATTGGCATCCAGGTCATTCACAAGTGGAGTCAGCTTCCCAAGCGAAGGCCCCTCCTGGTACAGAGGTGAGCTTGTCTCCAGCCAAATCTCTCACCATTTGTCCATCTCCTTTGGCCTGTGGATTCCCTTTTTACAATATTCTATTCTTTGCCTCCAGGCCAAAGACCTTCCTTGTCAACAATTTTAATGTCCTTATCTAAGGGACTGTTAGCTGGCTTATGCTACATAGAGCCATGAGTCCAGTTACCCACTGAGCATCTTATCTTTCATGTCCCTAATGATATCCTTTCTCCTATGTAGGTATCTACACAAACCCTACCTCATCAGTGGCAGCAAGTTTGATCTACGGATCTATGTTTACGTCACTTCCTATGATCCTCTACGGATTTACCTCTTTACAGATGGACTTGTCCGCTTTGCCAGTTGCAAGTATGTGGTAGTGGTGAAGTGTCAATCTGACAGCTTTGAAGATTTGATTTTTCAGAGTGAGGGAAGCTACAGGATACCAAACAGAAAAATAACAAATGTTTTGGTAGTTTTTAGTAGCAAGGGGAAAGGTGGGGAATGGAAAATAAGGTGATTCTTTACTTCACTGAATCTGAATCTTCAAGCATGGACTGAGGTAGGTAGGATAAAGAAGATGAGTTTAACTAGTGTTCTAGAACCTTGCTACCAGACATACTTCTCACGCCCTTGTAGATCTGAAAAGATCTTTCCGCTTGTTTTTTCCTTCCTTTGTTGTTGTTGTTGTTATGTGCCGTCGAGTCGGCCCCGACTCATAGCGACCCCTCCTTGGGTTTCCAAGGCAGTATCACTACGGAAGTAGGATTGCCCAACCTTCCTTCCGAGGAGTGGCTGTTGGATTTGAACCGCCAGCCTTCTGGTTAGCAGTCAAGTGCTTTAGCCACTATGCTACCAGAGCTCCTTTTTCCTTCCTTAGGATTTGAAAAATGTTTGGCCCGTTTTCCATCTGCTATCTCACCATCTTGCCCCTCTGCCTTTCTTCTCTTCACTTCCAGGTATTCCCCTTCCATGAAGAGCCTTGGCAACAAGTTCATGCATCTGACTAACTATAGTGTCAATAGAAAGAATGTGGAGTACCAGGCCAATGCAGATGAAACAGCCTGCCAGGGCCACAAATGGTACTGGGGGCATGGTGTCCCATTCAAGTGAAGGCCTAGAGGGCTCTAGGGTGTGGGGAGGTTCAGTGGAGTGGTGACTGGAAGATTAATATACGACCCAAGGAGTACATAAACAGTTGTTACTCAGAATTGGCCTGTTTGTGTCCAAGATCATCTCCTCCTCGATCAAAATTTGAGAAGAGGAGATATGAAGAAAATACCCATAGGCCTCTTGTTCCTTTTGCTTTCTCTTTCCTTCATCACTCATTCCTAGAATATAACTCCAAACACTCCCTTCTGTTCCCTCTGCAGGGCACTGAAGGCTTTATGGAACTACCTGAGCCAGAAGGGAATCAACAGTGATATCATCTGGGAGAAGATAAAGGATGTTGTTGTCAAAACCATCATCTCGTGAGTCACACTGCCACTCTGGGGGTGGGGCCTGCCACTGAACTGTCTGGTTTCTCGTTGGCCGCCACACTGCTGTGCTTCTAACTTTTACCATGCTGTGGTTCCGTTTCTGAGAACAGAGTATAGGAAGGGTGGATAGAATTATATTCTGCTCTCCTGACCTTCATCCCCAGGAACTGGCCCAGATCAGAGGCATCTCTTGGGAACTGGTTTTCCTGGGTTGTCTCTGATCTCCCATCTCTGGCCCACTTCATTGGCAGGGCATCTCTGATTATGGCCCTCTGGCAGGAGGAGCTGGGCCGAATACTTCCTCCTCTCCATTACCAGGTCAGAGCCCTATGTAACCAGCCTGCTCAAGATGTATGTGCGGCGGCCCTACAACTGCCATGAGCTTTTTGGTTTCGATGTCATGCTGGATGAGAACCTCAAGCCCTGGGTACTAGAAGTCAACATTTCCCCGAGGTAGGCCATGCTGTCAGGGCACTTACAGTGGAACCTTTCCTGTATCCTCGCAATTTGCTTCCCATTCTAGTCTTGTTGACTTTTGGAAAGTCTTTTTCCTTCGCTGGAATTTTTGTTTCTTTCTCTTCGTGTGTTTGATTATTCACTCATTCTTTCCCCTTATGTCAGGATTCTTTGAGAATGGAGAGAGAAAGTGTTGAAAAGTTGTTCTTTTAAACTTAATCCCTGCCATTTGCTTTTTCTGAGCAAACCATGGTTATGGGCAGGTGCCTCCCTGATTGAGGTTTTTCACTGTCTTTGGGGCAAGAAGACCCTCATCATGCTGCTCATGAAGTTAGATGTCTGAGCCCTTTCCATTCTAGGGAATCTAGGGAGTAAGCGGGGCTAACACTGACTTGGATGTCTGATTGGAATCAGTGTTGGAGTGCTGCTTTGACCACTCTTTGCATCCTTTCCCTGAAGCCTCCACTCTAACTCTCCGTTGGACATCAGCATCAAAGGCCAGATGATCCGTGACCTTCTGAACCTGGCAGGGTTTGTTCTGCCCAGTGCAGAGGAGATCCTTTCCAGTTCCAGCAGCTCCAGCAGCTCCACCACCAGGTCAGCCTCCCTGCTTCCCTGACACTTGGCTAGCAACACGAACAGCCCCGTTGTTACCCTGGGAAGGGATGGCTTCTGGGCACTTTCACTGGGATTGTTTGATGATATCCTCCTGCTTGGAGTTCCTTGCTACTCCATCTGCCACTGTGATCCACCCACACACCACGGCCATGTCAGTGCCCTTAAAGCGTATTTGGCTATCTTGCTCCCCTGCTCAGGAATCCCCATAGGTCCTAGAGAATCAGCTTTAAACTCCTTACCTGCACATTTGAGGCCCCAGCCTCCTTTTCCTAGGCTCATCTCCCTTTATTCCTCTTCTTATCCCCTGTGCTTCCAAGAAACCTGATCACTCACAGAACCTCAAGATTGGAAGGATTCTTGAGAGTCAGTTAGTTCAATCAATTATTGCCTCTTGCTGTCTCCCTATAGTGCTCTCTCCTCTGCCCATGGGATTTCTTCCTTCTGAAATGCCCCTCAGCCAGAGCTACCTGTTGTAATCTCACCCACCCCCCAAAGCCAGGCTCAAGGCAACATCTTCATAAAACCTTCTCAGGGTGGGCTTTTCTCTATACCCAAAAAGCACGTGGAACCACTCTGGAGTTAATATTTATTTGGCACCTTCTATTTGTAAGGAAAAACCTATGTTATCTTTACAACAACCCTACGAGGTTACTATGAAATGGTACCATAAGTTTATAGATGAGGAAATGGAAAATCACTGAGTTTAAGTAACCCATCTAGTATCATTCAGCTAGAAAATCATAGAGCTGAAATTCACATCCTGATTTGCTTGGTAACAGAGCTGGCTTTTTCTGCCATACCCTGTAGACTTATGTTTGGCCCTATGCTGTGGTTGTCATTTGACTGACTTCTTGGAGGCAGGGACTGCTTCTCAGTCATCTTTGTCTCTCACTTAGTAATGCTCGTAGTGATGGAGATGATGAAACTGAGATACGGGAGGTTAAGTAACCTGCCCAAGGTTACACAGCCAGTAGGGCAGAGCTGGATATTTGGTAAGTGTTCACTAACTTGAACTACACTAAAGTACACAGCAGTTAGGTTTATTGGGGGCCCCTCTTTTTTTATCATTCAGATGCAGCTGAGAGAGGATGCTTTGTACTCTTAGTTCTTCCATGGTACTTGAGCTTTGATTCTCAGACTTGATGATATCTTCCTGCTTGGTCTTCCTTGCTACTCCATCTGCCACTGCGATCCACCCACACACCACGGCCATGTCAGTGCCCTTAAAGCACATTTGACTATCTTGCTCCCCTGCTTGATTATATTGCTCCACTTGAGTGGCATGTATTTTAGTCTTGATTTACTCAGGTAACAAACATTTTTCCATACTTTTTCATCTTCTCTTCAAAAGGGAGCCTTACTGGGCTGGACCTTCTCTCTGGGTTGTGAAGCTGCTAAACTTACCCTTTGCTCCTTTCCACCTCCTTAGCCTGACCAGCACCCCCAAGGACAGATTTCGAATGGCTCCAGAGCAGTTCACTGCCCAGAAGATGAAGAAAGCCTATTACCTGACCCAGAAAATTCCTGATCAGGTAGGAGATTGACCTTCCCCCACAATGCCAGCAGGAAGTTCCTGGTCAAACATCTGGGACCCCAAGGCAACCAGTTTTTCCTCTCTTTAGAGTAGGGTTTTGTACCCCTGGTCTGTGATTCCTTTGAGTGCAGAGATTTGATGGCATGTCCATCATTCTGGGAGAGAGTTGGTGGCCTTAATCACTTTTTCAGGAACCACTGCCCTTAGCAAAATGCCTTACTGGCTCACCCTTCCTTCAGAGCTGGACTTTTACCCTTGAGTTTCATCCCTGAGAGGTGTAATGGGACCCTGGGGAGAGTGATGCCTCCAAGCAGATAGAGGAATGGCAGCACACAAAGCTGGTGCCAAATCTGAGTTGCTGGATCTTGATCTTGACTGATAGCCTCCCATCCCTGCCAAGAGTATCTTCCTTCATCAGCTAAATCCAGCAGACATAGGGAGGTGAGGTCCAGAGTTGGCCTACCAAGCTGCCTTGGTCGTTCCTCAGGAGCCCTGGAATCCTAGGGTCCCAGGACTGTGCTCCTGTCTCCAACTTCTGGTTTCTTTGCCTCTGGCTTATGGTCTCGGTCACACCCTCTTCCTCTCTGTTCTCTGGGCCATAGGACTTCTATGCATCTGTGTTGGATGTCCTGACGCCAGATGATGTTCGGGTTCTGGTGGAGATGGAGGATGAGTTTTCTCGCCGTGGTCAATTTGAACGAATTTTTCCTTCTCGGATCTCCACTCGCTATCTCCGCTTTTTTGAACAGCCACGATATTTCAACATTCTTACTACCCAGTGGGAACAAAAGTACCATAGCAACAAGCTCAAAGGTGATGTGTCTTCCTTGGCTCAGGAGGCCATGTTTAGAGTGAGGTTAGATCCCAGGAGACCAAGAAATGGGCCTCTCTGGCAAGAAGAATTGGCCAATAAATTTTCCTTCTTAAATCCCAACCCCTGCTGTCTTGTCGTAGGAGTAGATCTCCTTCGGAGTTGGTGCTACAAAGGATTCCACACAGGAGTCGTCTCTGATTCTGCTCCTGTGGTGAGTGATGGTAGTGGGCAGGGCCAGGGGCGGGGGAGGAGATAGCTGTATCCCAGGTCCCTCCGTCCTCTGCCTTAATTGTACAGCATAAGCTGGGTGTGAGGACAGACGTCTCACTTCTCCCATAGGCCCTGCTTTTGTGTTTCCTGCCCCTTCTCTTTTAAGGGAATAATTGCCTCACATATTCCCTGGGCACCTTTCATGATCAAAAAGTGCCTTGTAGGCCTCAATTTCTTGTCTGACTGAGAAGAGAGCGAGCCAGGACTTTTCCCATAGGAATCCATGTTTGAAGGCTAGGGAAGGGGAGAGCACCATGATTACTCAGAAGCAGAGCTGGAAAAACTAATCCCAAGACCCCAGCCACTCCTGCCCGACCTCTGCCTCAACCTTTCCATCTCATTGCTTCCTTTGCTTTTAGTGGTCTCTCCCGACATCACTTCTGCCGGACCCAAAGGATGATGTGATGCTTAATGCCTTCTGCAAATCAGAGATTGACAACCTGGGGTGAGTGCTGCTTGGGCAAGAGGAGAGTGTTGGATATGATTTTGGGGAGTTCACTTCTTCTCTTCTCAGATTATGACAAGATCAGCATTGGAGGAGAGAGGGGTTAGTGAGGGTACCAGAATATGCAGCCACAATGTCCTCTTCCTGGTGGCTCTTAGTGAAACTGAGCCACAGTTACACATCATTTGCTGAAGCAACCATATCCACTAGCTGTAGGAGATCCTTAGCCTTCCTGCCCTCACGTAAATTCACACTTGCATTTAAGTTCTCAAACCTTCAGGTAAATAAAGTATCTTTTATGGCTATTTTTATACCCATATACTTATGGTCCATAACACCATAATGTTCTAAGTGCCTGGTTCAGACTCTGAAGACAGATCACAGGTTAAGGTCTCAGCTACACAATATCTCAGCCCTATGTTTCCCACTTGTTCCCCTCAGAAAACACAGCTCCTCCGAGAGAAGCCTGCTGCTCTCTGAAGATGGAGCCACCCCCAAGCCCAAGAAGACTCCAATTGGCCTTTCTCCTTTCCCCAAGAAACTTAATTCCTCAAAGGACAGTGAGGACACCAGCAAAGAGCCTAGCCTCTCTACCCAGATGTTACCTCTGATCAAGTACTCTGGGCCAACTTCAAGACTTTCTGCTTCCTCTATTTCCCAGTCAACCAGTGACTCCCTCCTTGCTGCTGTGAGCCCATGACTGGCCTCCATCCACTAGTCCTTCCCCAGGAGCACCAGTGTTAGCTACCTCATGGGAACGTGCTGGCCTTTCTGAACCCCTGCCTCCTCCACCTTGCCCTCATTAGACTATTTTTTGGATTTGTTGAATTGCAGAGGTGGATATCTGTAGGATTAGAGGGATGGTGAGGAAGGATGAGGGGAAGATGAAGATTTACTGTATCACTTGGCAGGCATCTCATATCTCAGCAGAGAAACCAATGGTGGCTATACAGCCTTATAAAGCAGGGTTTGGTTTCTACCTTCTGAGAGCCATGTGTGATTTATTTTAGGCCTTGGCAGAGTGATTGAGTTGTAGCTCAAGAGTAGAAAACATGCTAAATAAATTGGGGCCTGAAATCCTTTGGTAATTGAGGAGGTTCCTCTGAAGGTTCTTATCTTCTCAGGTTTTCACCCCCTCCCTGCTCTCTGTCCTAAGGATCCACTTGAAGAAACTGTCAAATCTTCTAACTTCCCCAGTAGAACCCAATTCCTATCAATCTTATGTCCGTGCTAGTCAGGGACTTTACCACCTCCATTTCTCCTTTCATATACCCATCTAGCCAGTAGCCCTATGTCTTCCTCTTTTGACCTCACATCACTACTTATTCAGTCTTCTAGGCTTCTCTTTCACGGATGTCACCTCTTCAACGCAGCTTTTTTTGAGGTGAGAGGCTCTATGGTCTTTGTAAATTGCCCATGGCCCCAACAGAGGGGCTCATAGAATCCCTGTTGGTGTTAATCTATGTCCACTGTCAAAAGGCCACAATCCAGAGGGAGGGTAGAAGGAGCTGTGATATCTGAACAACATGGAGAAAGCTGTGTTCTGTCTTTACTCTGATGAGTGAGGTCTAGATTGTGGGTTGCTAGGGCAAGTGTCTAGTGACTTGGGTGGGTTTCAGGAGCAGGCACTCTTATAGAATGGTCTTCCAATCAGACCTCTGACTACAATCTTGTACTCTTAACTGTATCTACCTCCCTTCTCTAGGCTCAGTAAACAGTGATCATTCAGTAAATTTTGATTGAGTGAACTGTGTATATAAAGATTTCAAAGGACACGAGCACCTGAGCCAGAAACTCTGCTGTTCTCTCTCCTGATGGAAAATGGAGCCCAGGAAGCACAAGAGGAGAGAGTTTGGATCGGAAAGGTGGTTTTCTTGAACTGGGCTTCTCCCTAACCCAGCAGTTGCTGCTTGCCCCCTGCTCAGATCCTGCAGTCCCTTTACTTAATTTTTCTAGCAGCGAGGCATATGAGAAGCCAACTGGCCCCAAGTCTCTGATACTCAAGTTCTCTCCTTTGCACATCAGCAGGAAGCTCAGCTACTTGGCCTTACCCTGGACTCTGGATGCTCTCATTCCTTTTGAGGTTTGGAAAGAGAAAGACTGCCCTGCTTTGTGGCTCCTGGAGTTCAGTGGCAAGTTGGGATGGAATCATGGGAAGATGACTGACAGGCGTGACTGGATTCAAGGGCACAGAGTAAATGAATATGCTGGCCAGCCCTAAGGCCATATTAACAGATGTGAAGAAACCTTGGTGGCAAAGTCCTAGGGTAGCATCTGCTACTCGGTACGAACTTCAGTGCCAGCCCAGAGTGGAGAGATCCTGGACGGAGCTGGTTGATCTCTTCTGATAGACTTGAACTCGCTCTTGCCCTTTCTGGATGCAGTATTCTTGTGCAGATGTCAAAGCCAACCTTGTGATAAGGGCAGTAAGCAGCCTCTGAGAGAAAACTGGCCACGTGCTAAGCAGCTTTGTTGTGGCTGCTGCTCTGACGCAAGGGCTTAGGTGTAAGGCCTAATAGAGCTGATGGTGGTTTACTCCTTGGAAACCAATTTCCATTCTTTGACCTGCCTTCTGTGAATCCCGGCATGGCACAACCAATCCCGTTTCCATCCCTGTAACTGGAGAGGGGACCAGCATTGCAGCATGATGGGGGTTGGCTGGTATTGGGGTAGGGGGCCTTAAGAAATTAAATGAGTGGTGAAAATACAGTGCTGTTAGTTTAAAACATGCTTATACATAGGTTATTTCTGATTATCACATTTAGGTGTCTGATAGGTGTGGGTGGGTGTTTTGCTGGGTGGGAGAAAGGCATGGGGCTTATGTATCACCTTTCCCTTTCACCTTTGAGCAAAAATGAGATCTTAATTAAACATTCAGCATACGTACTGAGTGTTGAGCATCTGTGGTATGTAAGGCATTCGGCTATATAAGGAATTTTGGAGAAGTAATACTTTTTTTGTTTCGTTTTGTTTTTCAGTTTGAATTTGGGAGTGTAGTAGAATAAATGATTGTTAGAACATGTCAGTTGTCCTAGATTGATACTTTACCTAATCCCTTTGGAGAAAAGGGACTGAGTGCACCTGAACATACGGGATAAAGTACAGAGTATTTCAGAAGCAGTGGAGGAAGGAGCTGGGGTAGCTGTTCCCGTTTACTTCACATCCACTCAGGATTGATCAGAAACTAAGTCCCTTAGAATGCATACTAATGAAGAGGTGGCGTTAGGTTAGGAAAAGAGCCTGGGACTCTTTGGCTGACCTTGGATTCAGATCTTAGCCATGTGAGTTTGGACATGTCGTCTAAGGCTTTTTAAAACTTGGTTGCTGCTGCTGCTTTTTTTTTTTTTTTTTTTTAGTTGTGATTTGAGTGAAAGTTTACAGAAGAAATTCATTTTCCATACAGCTGTTCATATGCATTTTGTTTCATGACATTGACTGCAATTCCCCACAATGTAACACCTCTCTTCCCACTTACTCCCTGTAGTTACCTCTTCCCTGTGTCCTTCCTCCCATGCACCCCCACCCGCTAGCTATCTCCCTGTGCAAAAACTGCCCTTCTGTTCCCCAACAATCCATCAATTGATCTATCACTCCAAGGAGCATATCTCCCTGATGCAGATTTTCACCCCATATGCCTGTCTATTTGTCTGGAAGTCACTGGAGTGAGTTTAGTTCCAGACCTGAAGGGTGGGTAACTAGGGGCCTTAGTCTTAAGGGTCTCACCAGGTTCTATCAAACCAGCAATCCTGGTCTTTTTTTTTTTTTTTTGTGATGGAATTCTTAGTTTCTTTATAAAGCCAATAGAAGTGTCACAGAGTTGTGAAAATTTAACAAAACATATGTAAAAGCACTTATACTTAGATAGAAGAAGGCTCTTAATACATGGTTGCTGCTTTCTCAGTTTGCTGTCCAAGCTCTGTCCCTTGGGTATGGAGAGGCAGGCAAGAAATGTAAAGTCTTTCCCACAGAGAAAAGGGAACAGCTAGAGTCATTCTAGAAGTGCAGGAGGCAGAACAATGTCTAGATACCTCTTCACCCCACTCTGACCCCCAGTGCACACAGGTGCTTAGAAATACTTATCATTCCTACTCATTCGACTGTAAAATTATCACTATTGGAGATAAAAAGACTCTGGTGGTGTAGTGCCTAAGGCATTTGACTGCTAACCAGAAAGTCAGTGGTTCAAACCCACCAGTTGCTCTATGGAAGGCAAATGGGACAAGCTACTTTGTAAACATTTACAGCCTTGGAAACCCAATGGGGGTCGCTGTGAGTTGGCATCGACTTGATGGCAGTGATTTGGTTTGTTTCTTTTGGTCATTGGAGCTATATCACTTTGGTTAAGTACTTCACAGCGAGAATAGAGATTCTCTGGGAAAGGAATTACTCAGTCCTATCCTGAAAGCAGCTTTGGTAAGAAAGCAGAGCGCAAGGGAGCAGTGGCTGCCAGGCAGCTAGAAAGGAAGGAGAGCAGATAAAGAGACCTTGAACTGGAGCAGGAGCCAGAGATCAGAGGCTCTGAACCGACAGCCGTGACAGGCTGCTCCAAAGGGCCAGTTGTCATTACAGGTACATTCTCATGGTGTCAGGTTTTTTTGGCTGAGGGTGACTGTCCTTTCCTCATCCCCCATAACCAAAGGCCACACACCGGATTGCCCCAGAGCAGTCTGACACCGGTGAGGAGGGCCAATGAAGGAGGTTGATACTCAGGTATAAACAATCTTTCCACTTGTCACATGAGGGATGGCCTTTATCACATTTTCAGGAACCACTGCTATTAGCAACATGCTGTTTACAAGCTCACGTTGTCAGAGCTGTAGCCCTTTACCCATTGGGCTTATTGGTGCAGAGGTGCCCTGGAGGGGGCGAATCCCTCAGTCATTAAACTACAGTGAGCTTTCCCTCCTGGCTTCCTCTTGATTTGTTCTTTAAGTGCATGTCTGACTGTTCTAATCCCCAACTTACTTGAGACTAGACCGCTTTCAGAGATGTGTGGCTGGCTCAGTGCTACTGGAGACTGATCCAGCATCACAGATGACCCTTCCTGGCCTTTTAAATTCCTCCTGTGGCAGAGTTTGCACACTCATTAACGTCCAGGGATCTATACAGGTACATTTGCCTTGGCCCCTCACCAGCTTTATTCAGGGCTCCAAAACAGGGATGGTACAAGCAATCCTAAGTCATTCTTGACATATTTTTCATGTAAGTGAAAGAACACAAAAAAGGGTAGTTCTCTAAAATCCATTTGTTCTTAATTAGAGTACTGTACTAAGATACACAGAGTGCTAGGTGGTGCTATGGGAAAAACTAACAAATTTTGGAAAGAGATTTAATCTCTCTGAACTTCAGTTAGTAAACCGGGGAAACTATACCTACCTACCTCATAAGGTGGATATGATGATTAAATGGAAACAATAAATTAATTATCTAGCAGAATGCCCAATACATGTATAGTATAGATACAGTCGATTCTGAAACAGGCAAAAACAAAGTAACTGCCACCCAAAACAGTTCTTCTGTATGGTGGTAATAAACTGTAATAAATGTACTTTTATTCTCTCCATGAGAGACTAAATCTGAGGGTTTAATTGAGATAATAAACTTGGAAAGCTTGGAGCCCTTACCATTAATTGTCAGAGAAGTGCATTTAAAGCTACTAGACACCACTTCCACACTAGAATGACTCAAAAAGACTGAAAATACCAGGTGTTGGTGAGAACGTAGAGCAACCGGAACTCACACGTTGCTGATGGGGATACAAAAATGTGCTTTGGAAAACAGCTTCTTAGTTTCTTTTTCTTATAAATATCTTTTTTATGTGGCCCAGCAATTCTGTTCCTGCACACAAATGTTCATAGTAGCTTTATTCACAATAGCAAAAACTTGGAAATAATCCAAATGCCCAGAAACTAGTGAATGAATAAATTGTGGTGTATCTGTTCAATGGAATGCTACTTAAATATAAAAAAAAAGGGAGT